CAAGGCGTTCGGCGGACGGCGTTGTGGATGGCGTTTTGCGTTCTATTGCAGCCAAACTTTGAATGCTCTCCTCAGAATCCCTGATCTGATCAAAGCGCAGAAAAGAGCTTATCATATCATCTTGCCGCCTAAATGTTTGTCAAAAATTGTTTCTTTGCCTTGGGTGACAAAGTAGTCATGATAACTTGGAACTATTTTTGTTGTAGTACAGGATAATTGCACTGCTCCGTCAGGCCAAGCATTCGCTATGCGAAGTCTGTACACGACACACCTCCACGTTGCGTTGCGCCGAACATTCGCTGCTTAGATGTTACATCGCAGTCTATGTTATAACGTCGGAGCAACGCTGCCTTGATGTCAGCCCAAGTACAGATACAGCCACCGTCGTGGGGTGTCGCATCCATGCAAAGTCTTTAGCTGGGAGCCTGGAAATAATGAACGGTATAGCGACCTCATCAGGAATACTGAAGGTTCTAAACCAATAGTCAACTTGGTGAAACCAGACGTTTAAATCTTTCCCGAGATGCGGTAAGGAGCTGGCCACGAAACTCGAAAGTTGGTCGCGAGCGTCTTCACTGTTAGACATGCACATGGGAGTATAGCTTCTGGATTGTCTTTGTTCTTTTTCGAGCCGCGTTTGAGATTCATCGACGCACTGCTCTCTTTAGCACTCGTGCTTGATTCGGCGTGAGAATCTCCACGCGTTTCTAACTCCAGACGCTCGATGTGTTCTACTAGTGGAGCAAGTAGGTTACACAAGATGTCGTGATTTGCCTTCATCTGCACGTCAAGACGCAGTTTTGGTGCGTCGTCGTCTTTGGCGGCGTTGTGGTTCTTGAGAATCATCAGCTTCAGTTCTTCCGATTCGCTCCGGAGCTGACCCACCACGGTCCTTAGGATATGGGCTTCGGACACAGCTGACCAGTAGGCTTCCACCCGGGTGGCATCATCCAGCTGCCCGAACACGTCGACAGAACGTGGGGTCAGCGCCATTCTGGGATCACGGAGCCGACGCACTCCAAACGTCAGTGGCTGAGCCAAAGGAGTGCGTAGGGAGCGACGTCCCCACATAGATGATGTAAACATCTTAGTTCACCTCGAACCATTGGGTGCCGATTGTGACGTGCCGTTGTGGCCGTCGGATATAATGGGTTTCGAGGCGGCCTGTGAAGGACGTCCACACTCATTTAAGATCAGCAAGAGACTCCAGACCATTTTTCGACGTTCCTTGGGCGCCCGCGAGCCCGGCGCCAATCTACTTCGTTTTCCTCGCGCAAAGGCGCGAGACTCCCACCGAGCGTCGTCTGCTATCGCTCGTCACAAGCATAGCATAAAAACTAAACTTTATAAAAATTAAAAGTGCCAAAATATAAAATTTGCGCCAGTCGTTATAGCTACAAAGTTTTTTGTGAGACACAAACGCGTCTTGACAAATACGTTTTGACAAGCATAGCCTGTGCATCTGACATCCGGAATCATCTCGTGTCTATGCTCAGGTGCGCTATAAAAAATAACAAAAAATTCTGATAAAGGTGTTATTCGACAGGTTTGGTTTGCACGCTGTTGGCCATAGTACGAAAAGAAATTACCATTCAATCTCAGCACTTCTGCTTGAGTTAAGAGTTCTACCTATAAAGAAGAAGAAATCAAAATTCCATGAGAAAAAAAATCGCAGCATATCCACAGACTGAATAATGATGAATTGTGTGAAGCGACCATCAGTCCGTCCGCACTTCCGTTCGTTTGTTCGTTCTTGCTTCCGTATATCCGTCCGTTTGTGCGTCCATCCATTCGTCTCTGCGTGCGTCCGTCCATGCATCTGTCTGTCAGTCTGTCCATCCATCCGGACGCGCTTCCGTCAGTTCGTACGTCTGCTTGTCCGCCTGTCCATCCATCCATCCGTCTGTCCGTCCATTTAGTGTACACTTTAAGTGCCACCATCTCGCATCTTTTCACCGTATATTTATCACATAGAAGTACCATCATCCAGCGGTCATTCCAAGGACTTAACAAAAGATGGCTACGTAGTACTACTACTACTATACTACTAGTACTATTAATATTATTATTCTTATTACCACTACAACTACTAACTACTACTACCAGTACTACATACATACATCGCGAACGCACGACTCACGGCTTAAGGAGCTTCGCCCCGAAAAAAATTCAGCACATCCCGCACACCTTAGGAATCGACGTTATGCGGAGAGAAGATGACCCTGTCGTAATTTTTTCATTGAACGAGAAGTCATGAAACGACGATAAATATATGTTTAAGTGTTGAACGCACATAGGTATGTTGAAGAACGGCAAATGTTTATATAACCAAGTTGCACTTGCGCAACGATGCCAACACGAACATTTGTACGATAAGCTCATATGTAGCGCTGCTGCTCACGAGGATCGTAGCCCTGAACACTGGTAAATAAATCAACTCTACCACACGACACCCAACTGCAGTCGCATTAACCCAACGTGACCTTTGTGTCCAAAGAGTACATATGTAAGCCTTGTAAAATCAGATAGTGCGCACTGCAACCACAACTGACGTTTCACGAACATTACGGACTATAAGAAAAGCACTCCCGAGGACCGGCATGGCTTTGTGGTACAATTCTTTATTGCCGCGCAGAATGCCTGGGCTCAGTTCTTCTTGAGACCCTGACATTGGTTTTTCGCATGTGTGTTCTCGTCCTTCCTAGATAGATGCGGAGTTTCAATATTCTGTGGCACATGCCGGCGTAGCATTGGCACATACCCGCCCGCGGTTGCCACTGTCTGGCGGAAAGTGTTTGACGCCGTATGCGACAGTATACTGGCATTAATCATCTGTTGACCAGCGTGTCGAATTCGCATTACCATCTTACCCTACCATACTGATTTAGGTTCACACCAAGGTAAGGGGTTCATCACAAGAGCACCCACCCAGACGTAGGCGGCTAGATAGACCCGCCGCGGTGGTCTAGTGGCTAAGGTACTCGGCTGCTGACCCACCATCGAATCCCAGCTGCGGCGTCTGCCTTTTCGAAAATGCTGTAGGCTCTGATTTTGGTGCACGTTAAAGAACCCCAGGTGGTCGAAATTTCCGAAGCCCTCCAATACGGCGTCTCTCATAATCACATGGTGGTTCTGGGGCGTTAAACCCCACATACCAGTGAAGCAGCTAGATATATACATACGTAGACAGACGCCAAAAGTGCTTACAGTGAACGAAGAAAAATGCTTCGCGATGAATATTCGTTTTAAGGAATGCTGCCACTGTAACAACCTCCCTTGAATCGCTGACCTACCTATGTTATGACCTACAATGCAGCGGCTCCGGATAATTTCTGCCTTTGGATGCTTTTTACTGCGCAACCATATAGCACAGAGCACATATGCCTGGCATTTAGCTTCCACTCAAATGAGACCTCGCGCACTGGATTGAACTCGCGTCTTGCGCGTTATGTCATAATTACCCGACCACTAGAGGCAAAAAAAAAAGATCAGAAGCAAAAGATCATATCCTTTATGTTTTCCTCGGCTTAACTCACTGTTTGATCCATTCGGTTGTGTTTACCAAGGGCGTAATACGTAACGCATCGCTTGAGCAGTGATCGCGAACTTCGATAATAAGGGCGCAGTAATGAGCGCTGGCCCGCGAACGCACCCGTAAGAGACGGCTAGTAATCTGGCCCTGTACTCAGAACGCTTCGCGTTGACATGACCAGCAGCAGGACAACCGCGTCGCTACCTGTAATGACAATATTCTCTTACACCGCTGTTTTATTGGGTTAGATATCGGAACCAATTATCTGCCAGCCTAGCTCCATTCCAATTTTTTTCTATTCCATTCATTTCTTCGCTGTTGCTGCAAAACGGCGATTTTAATTTTTGTTTTTTTTTCTTGTACCATTTTTTACCTTCTCGAAAGGTTACTGCTCTGCTCACTTGATTCAATTCTCCTATCTTGATATCTACTAATGTAACTGTCATCTCAACCACAAGAAAACGACTTCCTAATGCCCTTTTCATATCTGATACTTCAAAGGGAGAAAATAAGTGAAAAGTGGAGCCTCGTCACTGTCTGCATCAGAGTGCGACACCTCAACAGCAGCCGACGAGGGATTAAAGTAAGAAGGGATTAAAAGGATAGGATTAAAGGTATAGACATAGAGAGGGGGAAGCAGAGAGCATGGCGCAGGGGCAGCGACATACGGAAGTAAGGAGAATATAGGAAAGATGGACTGCGGTCGCAGGAGTCCGAAGACGGGGCACCACTCGGCGAGAGCTCTTGTCGGCGTCAGGCGATAGCACTGGGCGAGCCCAGTCGGCCAGAACTGCGTTGTCGTCGGTGATCGCGGGGGCACGACCGGTCGGCACGAAATCTAGAGAGCGAGTCCAACCTCAACGCAACTGGCTTTGAGGCAACTGGCGTTTGTTCGGTAACTATCCACGGTCCGCTGCGTTATGCAAAACACCAGTTTCGTACATTCTCACTTTATTCTGCGAGACTTTCTCACGGCCGGGCTACAGGAGCGGCACGCGCCATCACGCGTAATTTGGCGTGAACACACGAAGAAGAGACAACGATAACGATGATAAAGAAGCAGAGAAGATGAAGGGTGAGTGCTGCACTTGTGCTCCATGTAGGCAAGGACACGGCCTGTACAGTTAGGCTGCTATTGTTGACCGATGGCAGGTTTTTGAACGAGGATCCTAATATACTGAAGCAGGTTTGGATATGAAAAGGAAGACTCGTTCTACTGTGAGAGAAGGGATTGCATTGAAGTTTCATGAATTAAGGGATATAATATACTCTGCAGTGACGCAATCGCAGGCAAATGACTTCGTGCGCACTTTCTTTATTGCTTGCCTTTAAACAACAAAAAAAACAAAAACACGCTTTGTGCGTCTTGCAAACACGGCGTAGGGTTACCGGAAAGCATGTTTCTCCGTCAGACCGAAATGACGACATTTTAGAATCGCTGCTTCTCGATCACGCCAGATTATAGCCTTTACCATGGAGATCGCTTGACTTGCGCAGTCACATTCTTTCCGGGCTCCGCCCGTTGATGCTTTCCGACGGCCCCTTGAGGTTTTCCCTCCACGATGAGAGGATCCTGGTGGGCCACGCCGCCCGCACGAGCTCTTGGATCACCGTGGCTTCTAGTCATGTGTGCCATGACGTGTCCTCTCTCCCGAAATCTCAATCCGCACAGGCCACACTCGTAGAGCTTTTCTGTGGTGTGCATCCGCGTATGTCTACGAGCGTTGGACTTCCTGGAAAATGTGGCTGGACAGAAGTTGCATTCGTACGGCCGCTCGCCAGTATGCACCCGCGAGTGGCGCCTCAGGTCGAACTTGTGTTTGAACGTCTTCTGGCACAGGTCGCACTGCCAGGGCTTTTCCCCGGAGTGCGTAAGCTGGTGTCTGGCCAAGTTTTGCTTCTGGGAGAACTTGGCCGGACACGAGTCACACGAGAATGGCTTTTCGCCCGTGTGTACACGGAGGTGGCGGGTGAAATCCCATTTCCTGGCGAATACTTTGCCGCATGTAGGACAACCGTGACGTTTTTTTCCAGGTGTGAGGGAAGAAGTGCTGACAGACGCTGCATTTTCGAACGGAAGTCGCCGAGCAGCACTGACAGACATGCGACTTTTTCCCGGCATGTGTAGCTAGATGACGCTGGAGCCTCGCTTGGCTGGACAGAACCTTGTCGCACACTTCGCACTTGTGGTTCCTGGCAATGGTGTGCTTCCGTTCTGGCTCTTCCTGCACCACGCTTTCATTGGCAGAACACTTGCGAGTAAAAGAAACATTATAAGGCATGCCAGCACGGCGTCGAGGTCAGCTTTCACGGTGACGTATAGCCATCAAAGTTCCCTAAATATTAAAGGATGAGCACTGCCTGATACCCGGTGTTCTTGGCTTTCTTGAACAAGACACAGTTAGACCCACGTATATAGACACCCTTTACGAGCCTATTTAGTTGTGTTTACGGCTCCGTTCTTGTTTTGTTGTTCTTGCCTGTTTTCCTTCTATTTTTCTTCTGTCTTTGTATCCAGATCAAATAGTAATAATAAGTCACAGCTTTGCCGCAAAGGCGAAGCAATATACGCGATAGCAACAAATTGGAAGTCACGCGCAGAATGGCAAACAGATAGAAATTTGCCCCATGTTTTTCAAGCACAAGTGACGCACGAAACGTTCTCACAGGTGAAGTTCAGAAGGGTTTGTGATCGGGCGAGTTGGTCATCCATGAACGTAGCGTGTATTAGCGCTGTACATAAAAGAAAGGGACACGACACAGACGTAGAGATTGGTAGGCGCTAAACTTCCAACTGCTTATTTCATGCCAATCACACCCATTTTATACATCCGCGACAAAGCACAACTCATCTTGCACGTGTTCTTAAACCAAGCAACGTCATTTCCTTTTCTGACAAGGAAAAGAAGCCGAGGCTATAGAACAATTTGGCCACTTGTGTGTAAGCTCGTTATCAATTTTCTTGTCAGAAAAGGCAATGACGTTCCTTGGTTTAAGAACACGTGCAAGAGGAGTTGTGCTTTGTCGCGGATGCATAAAATTGGGTGTGATTGCCATCAAATAAACAGTTGGAAGTTTAGCGCCTAGCTATCTCTATGTCTGTGCTGTGTCTCTTTCTTTTATGTACTGCGCTAATACACGCTACGTTCACAGGTGACGATGAACGCGAATAAGCATCTCAGTTGTTACTTCGCTGTGTCTGAAAAGCGTGCCCTTTTCACAAACGGAGACTGTGCAACGATTGAAGCGACCTTTCTGCGCCCGGTAACTACAACAGAATCGTTTCAGTGAAATCCCAACGCCAGCCAAGACGTATCATCCCCCCAACGGCAGATAAGGGCGCGTGAGAGATCGTCCACCCCCTCCTCTCTGCGGGCCTAAGTATGCGTGGCAGATGAGAGCCGGACGGACGGATGGACGAATCGGTGATGGATGGATGGTTGGATGGATGGATGGATGGATGGATGGATGGATGGATGGATGGATGGATGGATGGATGGATGGATGGATGGATGGATGGATGGATGGATGGATGGATGGATGGATGGATGGATGGATGGATATGGCTGTACCCTTTAGATCGGGCGGTGGCTAGCGCCACCAACCCGTAATACTTAATGAACCAAAAACTAGATTTATTTTTTTTCCTTAAATAGTGAGGTTGAGGATTCGTACTTTGCAGTGAAGGGTTTAATTTTCACTCGTGCCTTGACTTTAGCCACCAATCAGATAACTTCCTTCTAGTTAATTCTACCCGCTTAAAGTCTATTATGCCCTCACTGTCCCTAAACCCCAGTGCTTTGAAAAACTCTGCGCCAGTCATCCTGAACTATAGGGTGAAGCCCTTTACAGAACATTATCAAGTGTTCGGCAGTTTCTTCTTCCTCTCCACACGCACTGCATACCGTGTCTACCCCTTCGTATTTGGCCCGATATGTCTTGGCTAGCAATACTTCCGTCCTGGCCTCAAACAGTAGAGAACTACCCCGAGTATTATCATATATCCTTTCCTTGGCAATTTTCTGCTTAAAAGTTCGATAGATGAGCTATGAGCCACTGCGCGCTCATAGCGCCATCTTGGCTAGAATGTTGAAGGAGATGTTCCTCGGTGGCTCAGCGGCTAACGCCTCACATTTACGATTCAGAAGTTCCACATTCAATTCTGCGCGGCGGAGTCTTTTTCTGGATTTTTATCTTGCGTTTCCGATGCCTACGTCACCGCCGGCGGCAAAATTCAGTGGAGAGTGTCCATATAATTGCTATCGCACTAATAATAATAATAATGTAGTGAATAAGAAAGACGTTGATGCCATCAGGTCAGCTATCATCAGCACAAGAAGAAGGCACGAGATCGGCGATCAAGCACAGTCATCTGGGTTCGCCTGCGTTCCTTTAGAGCTACCACCCGCTTGCTCAGTCCTTCAATAAACCCCCTTTACATTTGGTGGATCGTGCTGGGTAACTGCATCACCTACACCCTGGAACTCCGATCCCGCACGCTGCCGTCGACCATGCAAGTTGACGCTGCCCAACAGACAGCACCTCTCGCGGCTCCTACTTGCCCCGGCCCGGTTCACCAGCGAGACCCCCCGATCTTTTCGGGCGCCGAAGACCAGGACGTCGAGGACTGGCTGTCGTCCTACGAAAAAGTCAGTGGACCAAACAGGTGGGATGACGCTGCTAAATTGAGCACCGTCAACTTTTACTTGGCTAATGTGGCGAAACTGTGGTATACAAACCACGAATCCGAGTTTGAGAACTGGGCCACTTTCAAGCAGGCAATATCCTCGGTTTTCGGTCGCCCTGCCGTGCGGAAGTTGCGCACCGAACAACGCCTGCGCTCACGGGCACAAGAACCTGGCGAAACGTTTACCGCCTACATCGAAGATATACTCGATCTCTGCAAGCGCGTCGATGCCGCAATGAGCGAAAGTGCCAAGATCCAGCACATTATGAAAGGTGTTGATGACGACGTCTTTCAAATGCTCCTGGCGAAGTCTCCTGGCACGGTGTCTGAAGTGGTAACTCTGTGCCAGAACTACGACGAATTGCGACGGCAACGAGCTCTCACCCGTCGTCCATTTCAGCCTAACCAACCACTCGCTGCACTGGACGTCGTACCTGACCACTCCCGCCTTCTAGCACAAATGAAAGACTTTGTGCGTGAGGAGGTCGCACGTCAGCTTTCCCTCCTGCCGTTTTGTCACCGCCAAGAGCTCCCGCAGCAGCAGCAAGAGCAACCACCGACACCGTTAGCTCCCATGCTCCGACATGCACTTCAGGACCAGATTGCCGAGGCTATGCCAGTGCCCTTTCAGCAGCAAGTCGTCGCCGCGCCTCTTACTTATGCTGACGCAGTAAAGAGGCAGCAGCCACACCAGCCCTCGCCGTTCAATGGACTGCCGCATGTCACCGCTCCTACTCAGTCTTCCGTCGCATGGGCTCCTCCCCTCGCTACCACAGCCTCGACTCAGCCGTATGCCGCGTGGGCGGCGCCCCTTGCTACAAATGCCTGGCGAACGCGCGATAACCGGCCGATTTGTTTTGCGTGCGGCGGACCTGGCCATATCTCCCGATACTGCCGTCGTCGCGTGCCCGCCTACACAGACGTCCGACCACGAAGCAATTACATGGACCGACCACCTTTTGGTTATGAAAGTTCGGATCGTCAGTCAAACACGTCTTCCCGTGACTATCCGGCAACTTCGTCTCGTCGCTCACCTTCACCCAATCGACGCTCCTTGTCACCCATGCGTCCACGACCAGCCCCTCAAAATGAGGGAAACTAGCCGTCGCAGTTCAAGGGGCAAGAACTGCGCTATCGAAATGTTCAAGTCCTCGCACCTTGCCGTCAAATATCATCGAAGTTTTTGTAGACGGCGCCCATGCATACGCTCTTGTGGATACCGGTGCCGCTGTGTCTGTTATAGACGCCAAACTTTGCCGCAAGCTCCGAAAGGTGACCACGCCGCTTGATATGTTCTTACGTGCAGCAAATGGAGAGCCTGTTCGACCTATAGCCGCCTGCACTGCCCGACTCAAAATTGCGGAGGACCACTACATTGTTGAGTTTATCGTCCTTTCCTCGTGCTCTCATGACGTCATCCTTGGCTGGGATTTCCTATCCCGTAATCGTGCCGTTATAGATTGTGCCCGTTCCGAACTTGAACTGCTTCCGTTCTTCGAGCAGCCCTATGACCACACTAATCAAGCCGCGCACAAGCTAGTTGTCCAAGAAGACACTGACATTCCACCGACAACAGCTGTTTTGCTCCCTGTGGTCTCCGACGGCATGCGTGATGAAGTAGCATTTTTCGAGCCATCACACCTCTTTCTAAGTCGGAAACCACTTCTGCTCCCTTATTCAGCCCTCTCAATTTCTGATGGAGCCAGTGCTCTCTGCCTTACCAATCCCTTTCCGCATACCATCAAACTGTTTAAAGGCGAGTCTCTTGGATGCGTACAGCCCATTGATAACGGACAAATTTTTACAGTGCAGCAAGAATCATCCCAAAGTGACCTCGCCACCGTCAGTGCTCTTAACCACTCTCATCTACAGGCTTCAAAAGTGTTCGATTCGGCGATCGCAGACGGACTGTCACCATCTGAACGATCTGAACTCCTCCAACTGCTGTACCAGTACCGCGAATCTTTCGATGTTGTTCAACCTTCACTTGGCCGCACTTCTACCACTCTACATTACATCGATACCGGCTCCCATGCGCCACTACGACAGCGACCATATCGTGTTTCTGTGACGGAACGCCAAGTTATTACCGAACAGGTGAACGATATGCTGCAACGTGGCGTCATTCAACCTTCACAAAGTCCATGGGCATCACCTGTAGTGCTCGTTAAAAAAAAGGATGGTTCCGTTCGCTTCTGCGTGGATTACCGGCGCCTAAATAAGATCACTCGAAAAGACGTGTATCCTTTACCCAGGATTGACGATGCCCTTGATACTTTACAAGGTGCCGAGTTTTTTTCATCATTAGATTTGCGCTCAGGGTACTGGCAGGTCCCCCTTGCCGATGCCGATCGACCAAAAACAGCCTTCGTGACACCGGACGGTCTGTATGAGTTTAATGTCATGCCCTTCGGCCTCTGCAATGCGCCTGCCACCTTCGAGCGCATGATGGACTCGGTTCTTCGGGGTTTGAAATGGCAAATCTGTCTCTGCTACCTCGACGATATAGTCGTCTTTGCGCCAGACTTTGGAACACATCTCGAGCGCCTCAAACACGTCCTCACGTGCCTGAAGAATGCTCAGCTCCAACTCAACCTCAAGAAGTGTCACTTCGCTGCTCGCCAACTTACGATTCTCGGGCACGTCGTATCAAAGGACGGTATACTTCCAGACCCGGCTAAGTTACGTGCTGTCGCCGACTTCCCCAAACTAACGACTATGAAGCAGTTACGGAGCTTCGTGGGGTTATGCTCCTACTTTCGCCGGTTCGTGCGCAACTTCGCCTCTATCATTGCGCCTTTGACCGAACTTATAGGCAGCACCACTGATATTTCGGCATGGTCTTCTGAGTGTGACCAAGCCTTCTGTACCCTTCGTCGTCTCCTCACTTCGCCACCAATACTGCGTCACTACGATCCTACGGCAGCAACTGAGGTCCACACCGACGCCAGTGGTGTCGGCCTCGGTGCGGTTCTCGCGCAACGCAAGCCTGGATTCGCCGAGTATGTCGTCGCCTACGCCAGCAGAACTCTTACCAAGGCTGAATCAAACTACAGCGTCACCGAGAAGGAATGCTTGGCGATCGTTTGGGCGCTTGTCAAGTTCCGCCCATACCTTTATGGCCGTGCTTTGATGTAGTAACGGACCACCACGCATTATGCTGGTTATCGTCGCTTAAGGACCCATCAGGTCGTCTTGCCCGTTGGGCTCTTCGGCTTCAAGAATATGACATTCGCGTGGTATATCGTTCCGGCCACAAGCATGCCGATGCTGATGCACTGTCACGATCTCCCCTATCCCCGGACATCGCATCTATTTCCTCGGACAACACGTTGTCAGCGCTTGACGAGGACACCATCTCTTCTGCACAACGTAATGACCCATGGATCGCTTCGCTTCTTGACGCGTTATCTGAGGCACCGACACTTCCAACCACTCGAACCCTGCGCCGCCAGGCTCCGCACTTCAGTATTCGGGATGGCCTCTTGTACCGGCGCAACTATTCAGCAGATGGTAGGAAATGGCTACTAGTCATTCCCCGAACGCTGCGCTCTACCATCTGCGCGTCGTTTCATTCCGACCCGCAATGTGCTCACGCCGGTGTTTTCAAGACCTACGAGCGCCTACGAAAAAGGTATTACTGGCGCGGAGCGTTTACCTTCGTCCGCCAGTTCATTCGCGGCTGCCACGAATGTCAGCGGCGGAAAAGCCCGCCACATCCTGCAACAGGTTCATTGCAGCCACTTCCATGCCCAGACCGCCCATTCGACCGTGTAGGAATTGACCTCTACGGACCACTACCATTAACAACGGCAGGCAACCGATGGGCTATCGTGGCAGTGGATCATCTAACACGGTACGCTGAAACTGCTGCTCTCCCCACAGCTACAGCACAAGACGTCGCAACTTTCATACTCAATCGTTTTGTGCTTCGTCATGGTCCTCCTCGAGAACTTCTCAGTGACCGAGGGCGCGTTTTCCTCTCCGATGTAATACAAGCACTTCTTCAACAGTGCCATATGGTTCACCGGAAGAGTACAGCCTACCACCCACAGACGAACGGCTTGACTGAGCGGTTTAATCGTACTCTGGGGGACATGCTCGCTACGCATGTCGCTTCTGATCAAACAAACTGGGACCTCGTTCTCCCATTTGTGACATACGCGTATAACACCGCTACGCAAGTCACTACAGGGTTTTCCCCATTTTTTCTCCTGTACGGTCGCGAACCATCACACACCATCGACACTTTACTCCCATACTCGCCAGATCCCTCCGAATACAAGCCTGTCTCGGAAGCCGCTCGTTACGCAGAAGAGTGCCGCAAGCTAGCCAAGCGGCTTACTACATCCGACCAACAGCGCCAGAAGGAGATCCGTGACGACGACCATCGTTCTGCACCGACGTTCGTTCCTGGAGCACTTGTATGGCTTCATGTACCGCCCTGCGCCCCTGGTGTATCACCCAAGCTACTCTCCAATTATCATGGTCCCTACCGCGTGGTCGAGCGTACTTCACCCGTGAACTACGCCATTGAACCCCTCACGCCACCGAGCGACCGTCGTCGGCGTGGACGTGATATCGTTCACGTAAACCGTCTGAAGCCGTACTTTGACCCGCTTGTCCCCACGTGTTAGATCGCCAGGATGGCTTCAACTTTTTCGCCGGGGGTAATTGTAGTGAATAAGAAAGACGTTGATACCATCAGGTCAGCTATCATCAGCACAAGAAGAAGGCACGAGATCGGCGATCAAGCACCGTCATCTGGGTTCGCCTGCGTTCCTTTAGAGCTACCTCCCGCTTGCTCAGTCCTTCAATAAACCCCCTTTACAATAATAATAATAATAATAATAATAATAATAATAATAATAATAATAATAATAATAATAACGTGTCACTGAGCCCTAGAACCTAATTTTTATTAATGCCATGATTACAGTCGGCATACGAACTTCCGTTTTTGCGTTGCTCCTAGCCTAATTAATCCCTTATTATGACGCATTTTCTCATTTGAAGTTGCAAAAAGCACAGATAAACAGCACACAAAAGAGATTCGCAGTTTATCTTCTTTTAGCAACAACCTTGGGGATAAAGCGCAAATATTTGTGTTCCTTTCAAGTTTTTCTTTTTCATCGGGTCACATAGTTCAATAAGTGCTCTTTTTGAAACGTAAGAGCTCACCACATGTTGTCAGCGTTGGAAGCTCCTGTTCTAGCATCAGTTCCATCTCCAGTGTCACTTCCGTTTTCAACCTTCTTCCAATCCCGCTCCATCGATGGCTGCGTGTCCAAAGATAGAGAAAAGAGCAAGTAAAATCCACGTGCTGAAAGACAAGGGTTTAGCCAGAAATATTATCTGGGGGGGGGGGGGGGGGCCAGGCAAACTCAATTTGTGTATGTTCGTGCGCGCGTATGAATGTCTGCCCGCGTATATACGCAATGAAAATTTAAGATCTTCGGCAGGAAAAGTTGAGCCCCCTACCCGCTTTCATTGCTACCCTCCAGCTATGCGCGTTGGTGATTCACCAGAATTTGCTAAATGGTCCGCGCAATCTGGACTCGAGAACTTAATGGAATGGGCACACGCAAGTGCTATCAGTGCATTTCGGTAAGTCAGTGTGACAGTGAGTCATTGAGTGTTGAAGCCAGTCAGTGTTTCAGTCGGTCAGCCAATGTTGTGGCCAGTCTTTTTAGGGGCGAAGCTTTTTAAAGCGGCACCCGTTCGTTCCTAGTAGTACGTAACATGTCTTACGCTTTGACCTCCAAGGGGGTGCCGGTGGGAGATTTCTCCTGTGCGTTGTTGAACAATAAAAAAATCGCAGCGTTTCCGTTAACTTAAAGCCAAATTCTTCTGTCTCTCATTCCCCATTAGCAGCCATTGGTATGTACATTAAGCAGTATCTGACAAGAAAAGGTTGCTACGGTATACTTGCTGGACGTAACCTCCTTTGTTTCAGAAAGGTTTAGCGAGCGTTGGGCCGCAGTGTCATGAATACAGTGAACTAGTACATACCATGAACTCGAGGTGGTTAAAGGTGGAAAGTAGACACGAAGCGCCAGCCGTAAGAAAGTGTGCGTGTGCCACCTCTCGTTTAGTCCTTGGAATGTCTGCTGAATGGCGGTGCTTCTATATGCGGAATATATAATGAAAAGATGCGAGAGTGTTGTACTTGGAGTGTTTACTAGATGGACGAATGGACACACAGACAGATGCATGGACGGACGCACGGATGGCTGCACGAACGGATGGACGCATGGGCGGACGTAGGGTGGATGCATGGACGAGCGCATGGACGGACGCTAGGATGGACGAGCGGACGCACGTACAGACGCACGCACGGATGGGCGGATGGACGCATGGACGGACGGAAGCAAGAACGAATACACGGACGGATGCTTCGCCCCACTCTCCGTCATCCACCCCGTGGATATGCTGCCATCTTTTTTTTTTTTCTAAGAAGCCGCATTACCTATTAAACTTGATTATGCGCATACTGCAGTGACGCAGTTATTCCCTACAAACTTCACTGTTTTCTATTTTCTTCAGAGTGGGGATTTGTCTCAGCTCACGCCACTTGTGTTGCGGCCAATAACATCCGGAAGTTGTAGGCACGATAAGGCAGATGCAATGCAACGATCTGAATAACTCTGTTAATTAAACTAAAGTAAGATGTCGAGTAAGGGAACGCATGTAACGAGCGAGCGACGTGACTACCCGGTGGAAAAGAAGCATGGAAGACGTTATCAACAGATCAAGCCACCTAAAATATCAATTACACGGTCTTGTGGCGTTATTATGAAGCACCAGGGAATTCAAGTGTGGCGTGGAAATCGTGGCGTGGAAACGTAAAAATATGACCTCTTAAAGTAACGTATGCGCTCACTTCAAACGCTAACAAAAAGCGCGATTTTCTCGGCGACCTTACGGCAATCCGCAAGGCTTTCCGGCATCTGCTATACAGTATTCACATCATGAATGTATTGCTAAATGACGGCACAGCACCCGTGTTCCAAGGTAGAGCTGTTCGACACGAATACAAAACAAAAGTCTTACCTTTAGAGGACGAAAGAAAGCAGGTTGAGCGAATGGCGGACGCAACTATCCGATTCAATGTGTCTGCATGTGATTGTTTTATTTTTACGTTCACAGATGGCAGTACTACCTTGAGCGTGCAGGGTTGCCTATGTTACGTGTTCATAGAGAAATAAAAAGGTTAAGAGTGGACACTCCCGTAGACCCCAGCGGCCCAATCGACTCTAGCACACCTGGTGGTTGGTGAAAGCAAGTGGCGTGCGCTTCCTGTTTCGGTTTCACTGGCGCAAATTTTGAATTACTTTGCGTAACCGACGTTTGGCTATGACGAAAGTTCATGATTTTAGACCACTTTTCATCGCCCAAATGGGTAGTTTTTGTAGGCCGTTTTGATTTAGCGGTTCCCTGTTTTGTTTTGTTCAGTGGTTCGTGCGAATTGGTCGTGTCGTAAGTTTTATTTCGATTAAGTTATAGTAAAGAGAGATGCAGGTAATGATAATTCACTACGGTTTTATTCATCGCGCTTGTGTTTTTCTTTTTGAACAAGTGATCAATGTATACATCAGTCAAAGAGACAGAGTATCCGCAATATTTTATTCAAAGGCAAGGTAGAGTATGAGAATATAAAAAGCACAATATGACAGAGGTAGACAACAAATGCATCTCGCCTTACAAATAAATTGTAACAAATATTGTAACAAATACAGAGAGAATACAGGCAGCGCACACATCGCTAGAGTTGGCAGAAGCCGAGAAGCTGGGGAAGTATGACACACCAGGCCAGTGGGTAAGTAAGGATCTCTGGCAAAAACACAGCGCCCAATGCTGATGAAGAAGGAAGAAGTGACATATACACAGCAATGAAGTCGCGAATCACGCCTGGGGTTAACCGAAATAATGCATAGAAAAAAAGAGCGCACAGAAACCACACGACACAATATAGCAGAAAGGCAAAGGTGCAGTGTGCTGGCTGTGCTTAAGAACAGCTAGCCCAAAATTAAAAAAAAAACAGACTTGATGCCTGCTTGTCCTCAGAAAGGTAGGGCTTTGCAGCTTGCTCACTACGTAAAAGACAAACTTTATGCTACAACACTGGCAGGTCTTGTGGCTCTTCTTATGTGTCGCCTTCATCAAAAACTTAAGATCCTAAGTGATTTGCGTCTGGGTGTTGCTATGACGCTTGCGAGCTAAAATAGATTGTAGTCATCACTTATCCAGAATTGTGGACCTTAATTGGTGCTACGAGAGCGGTATTACAGGGCTAATAAATAGCAGAAGGAAACCACTTTGGTTCATTATTTTTCACAAAGGCTCTACATCGTACGTTATCACTCACAAGCTATATAAAAATAAAATGGCAGCGTCCGCAGCCCCATCAAACGCTACAAGTTTGGGTATTCTTTTGAAAATTTTGATGGGCGAGATGAGGAGGTCGATGAGAAGCTAAAATACGAAAAGCGTGATAACGTGAACCGTTATCATTTCATACTGTGTTCCTTACCCGCTCGAAGACATTCCAACAAGCGGTTTTGTTATCGATATATTACTTGAGCTGGAGAGATAAAGCATACACAGTGACCAAGCGACCCACAGTAAAGTGTACAGTTCGCCCGCATTTGCTACGAAAATACAGACAGCATACCCAACATTCTTTTTGAAGTTATGCAAATCACTTCGAGCGAATACACAGTGTCCCTACTCCTTATAGCGGGTAACCAAAACAATGTATGCAACGAAGTTTTGGTTAGTCCAGTTGAACTGAATATAAGCATATAAGACCATAATGAAGTGTCCTGTAACGAAGTAATAACATAACAAAGCTATTGCAGGATTCGGCTTAACTCGAATACTTTAGTGTAAACGCGCCGCTAATTGCTAACCTTTGAACTTGTCAAGCTGTATGCCTGAGATTGAACACTGGAACCTAACCCTATCTAAGTTTCGGTTCACAAAACGCACATGCCAACATAAACGAACCCGGCAAAACATTTTCAGAAACTTCGCGCGACACCCAGCAGAGCAGAAATGAAAATCACCAACACTTGACAGATGCTGATACAAAACATCGCACACTTTCAGGTGATGTGCAGTGGCCTCAATTATGGCAAGAAAGTGAGATTCAAGTTGTTTTACGTATGCAAAAGCTGCTTCTGATGGCACAGTGAAATTCCCAAAAAGTTTGCTGGGGACGTGGTATGCTTTGAGCATTGTGAAATACTGGTGGGTACCCTTAAGCGTCTCACTGTCGTCTTTCAGTAATTGTGGGCAACTGCAACCGTCACATGCATTCCGAAGGAAGTGTTTGATGAGAAAAGCAGCTACATATTATGCAGCGGAGTCATCGATAATATGGGAGTGAATGTTGGTCGAAAGTTCAGAGAGATCGTCTAGAGCGGGAAAGTCGTCAGGCTGTGACTGTGCACACTCCTCCTTATCCACAAGAGATGCACTGGTGAGGGAGAATGGTGAGAGCTGCTCCTGGAGGAGGTCACATTCATCATCCTCGACATTTCTGTATTCTGACAGCTTGAAGAGTTTTCTTATGCAGATGTGCTTCAGGCCACAAATAAATTGTGCTACATTGGGGTTGTTGTTGCAACGCTGTTTTTGCCTCATGTGGCCAAATATGTTCTCCACAGGATCCTGTTGAAGCCTGCGTGTTAACAGGTATTCAAAATTGTATTTTTGGAGAGGTCGTCTCATAGTTGACAAATTGCCTGAATTGTAATTTGCCAACCTACGATGGTTTGTGGTTGACGTCTGCCAACAAACTGCCATGATACAATCCAGGGAAGCTGGCCTCGGAAGAAGTCAGTCAGCTCTGAATCATTTTTCATCATTGCATGCAGCAGCTTTTGCGAAGTTCTTTTTTTACTCGAGCTGTTTAAGGCATCGAAAATCCTGTCCATACGATCACAAAATTGAGCTGTAGTGTTCGCCGAGGCAGGCAGCACCTTCGCATACACCATTGCCGTGATAGCAATCGAAACTGATGCTCTGAGGACCTGAGTTGCTCTGCTGACCTTCATATTAGAAAAAGGTTTCTGATGAACGTGCCGTTCAGTCAACTTTGGAGCCAATCGCAACCGCAACTCATATGAGGATTGGTAAAGGCTTACAATGTGCGACCAGTTAACGATGTCATCCCCAATGTATAACTTGTGTGCTTGGACATTATTGCGCGTTGTTTTAATTAAATGAGGAACATCAAAAAATGTAATACACCCACTTACCATTAACTTCAAAAAAAAAAGGCTTTGCTACAGTCACTCTTAGTTGGTTAGCGAAACTTACATTTGAACTGCCCTGGTCCCAAATGACTGCTTTCACTGCGATATTAATGCTCCTAAGCTCTAAAATGAGTGACACCAGCAAGTTATGCATAACAGATGATGGTGTGTATGTGTGCCCTATAGTAAAAGCAACCGGTTGAACCCACTTTCTCGAAACACCAACAAGAAGAAAACCGAGTGCTCCATCAGCGATGGTTGAAGTGCGATGAGTGCCATCATCTGTAAAACCTTGGACAACGTCTCTTGCAGCATCATAGTACAAATTCTTTTTGAGTGCTATTTCGTCGAAAACTAAAGCGCACATTCAGTCCCGTTCATTCCAAGCTTGAGTATTTGTTGCAATGGAAGAAAGGATTCCTGGAATTATACCTGGAGTCATCTTTACATTAGCTAGCCACCTCCTTAATGAACGCCGGGAGGGCAAAGAAAAATATGGAGCCAGAAATCGGTATGCTCGCGGACCTCGGAAGTTTAAGTGAAGAGCGAATTTCTTGAACCGCACGGGAAACCGCTTGCCCTTGCGTTTGGGCCTCAAGCGAACATGTGCAGAAAGAAGTTTAAAAACCTCCTCGGTGACATGCGGTCGGATAACTCCAAGGGCCTTTGAAGTCGATTACGGTGCTTGGTGAGGCTGTCTCCGCAGTCTTTTGATAGTTTTCCGCTGTGCTGCCACTTTGGCTTGCAGATGTTTAATAGTTTGCTTGTACTTCATTGATGGAGACACTGTCGCTGGCACACAGGAACGCACTGCAATAAACAAAAAAAATGGATGTAAAAGCGCAGAACAACTAATCCCATACGGCCACTTTCCTCGCTCTTTCAGACCCAAGGTGCACAACTTTCTGCGGTGCAAAGTTTTCGATTCCAATACCTAAAAACAAACCATTCACAATGCTGACAATGCACAAAAAAATGAAAATCACTGAGAGCCCACCCTTACATTTTGTAAGTGCACACGTAGTCTCCTTTTGAGGATAGTTTTCTCAGAATGTCTTAAACATAAAATAGCACATTAAAAACAGCTGCAATAAAAGCATAGTCACCATTTTCTCTAGGGCACTCAGGCGTGGAGTTGTTGGCGGAGACGTCTTTTGGAGGGTCTTGTGAAGGTTGTTCAGTGCCTCGGACAGTGCTGTCGGAACAATCTTGCGAACGGCCTGCGGAAGCCTCTATATCAATCCACTCTGGTGTTGAAGTGAACATAGAGCTTACCGGTCACACAAGTTCCTTTTGTGACAGCTGAACGACTGGTTAAGGTTTTCTCCGGCGAGACGAAGTCAGCAGAAGTTCTTTCACCAGCTACAAGGGAGCTGCCACCTGCAGAGGTTTGGTCAACAGTGAATTTGGGTAAAAAAAAGAAATCGTGACACTGAACGCACCCTGCTCATCGGGGCACCTCAATGTGTAGGAGCCGCTTTTTGAAGCCTCTACCGCAGGTCCTGAAGAAATGAAATTACGACAATGTGTCAGTAAGAGGCTTAAAATAACACAAACTGAAGCTCATCCGCACCTTGCAGTGCAGCTTCTGCAGCCATGTCACAGTCACTACTTGAAGCGACGCCCAGAGAACCTGCCTATATGTGCAGTTGGTACAAGTTACAAAGCTTGTAGTATGGGGAAACTTAAACAGCTCTTTCAAACGCATAAATTGGTCGTGCGTGGAAGAAAAGAGAAGTCACCAACTAGGAAACAAGTAATTTGTGATTTTTGGAATTATCAACAGTGCCAGCTTTCACTGATGAAAGGTGTACGTACATGTGCGCTCAGGCTTGAAGATAACGTGAAATAGCCCTTTAAAGTCTTTCAAAACAAGTTGCGCAGTTCAAGAGCATCAAAAAACGACAGAAATGTAAAGCTGCTGTTAGGAAGGTAATAGCCCACAATTCACAAAATTTAAGACTTTCCAAGTGTTACTTCTATAGTGAGGTTTCTCCATCGGCTACAAAGATCTTCGCGGTTAACTGTCGCCACTGATTCAATACAAGTGGCTGCTATTGCACATATTTGAGTTTCAGTCAATCACTTACATGGTGCAGCTGGTTGCACACTGGGAACAGCCATTCTTGTAAGTCTTGTGTGCCCAGGGTCCATGAAACTTTGAGCAGTAAAATGGTCGCTACAAACCCTGTACGTTGCGTACAATAGGCTGGCCGGCTTACTCAGGAAATCATCGCGTCCAGCATACTGCATCCATGCTTTCATCCTGCATTGGCAATGATCTATCAGCTGAAAGGGGAAGTGCTTGAATAGTGATTTTTATTGTTACCCTCACTGAGCAAGTACGAACAGTAAGCCTAAAGACATGCAAACCATACAAAAGCTTTAACACACCTGCCGTCCCGTGGTATGCGGAAGAAACTCGTCCCAGGCTTCTTGTGGGTTCTGCCATTGTTGAAGCACCACGATACACAGCAGTAGCTGCCGTAGCTTGGACCGCCGGACGGCATGGCATCAGCGTGGTCTGAAAATGTTAGTAAGTGGATGCTTCGCTGTCAAATTACGAAAAAGGTATGTGCGTATTATAAGTGTACCAGCAAACCCCTTTGAATGATTAGCTAAACGATGCACAATACAAAACCAGTGATACATCTCTGACCCATAAACTCTGACTTACGAAGATAGACGTCAAGACCACGTACAAAGATCTTCAGAAGTTTCCAGGCCGCTATCCCTTGTAATGCAATGGTATCGCGGCCTCGGAACTTTAGAACACCTTCGTGCGTACGCAGTATCAGCAGTAAATTGGGAAGAAAAATCGTAGTTGAAATTTGTGCGGTAAAATTATATTGGAAACGTCAAAAAAATTTGTGGGCAGCTTGCACTAGTGGCACAAGGCTAGCACAAGTCGTTGCGGGATAGAAAGCACAGTCAAGCTTCTGCGAGAATGGTGTATACCGCCACTGTTAACTGCTGCATACAAATAGATCTCAGTTTTTTATGGGCAAAGCTCCTTGGGTTGTGGGTCGTTCCCTCCTTCGTATGTAATATGTTGCCGCCTCTAGTTTAATACTTTCTCAATGGATGACGTTGTGTGTACACATCCTTGGAAATAATATAACTGATTTCGTTAGTGGTTTTCACAGCATATCCGCGGAGTGAATTGGGGTGAATGTAGCGAAGCATCCATCCCTCCATCTGTGCGTCCAACCCCCCGTGCGTTCACCCGTTGGCCATTCATCCGCGCTGCCGTCCATTCCTCCATGCTTCTGTCCGTCCGACTTTTTGTCCATCCGCCCATGCTTTCATTTCACAGTCTATCCTTCCGTGCTTCCATCCATGAGACCATTAGTGCTTCCGTCCATTCGTTCTTGCTTCCGACCATTCATCCGTCCGTGCATCCACGCCTCTGCCCGTCCATCCATCCGCACGGGTGGGACACACGGACAGAGGCATGTATGCCCGGACGGAAGGATGGAAGCAAGAACGAATGGACGGGCGGAAGCATGGATGAATAGTCAGACGGACACAAGGACGGGTGGACGGAAACTTCGCCCCACTCATCATTCACTCGATGTATATGCTGTGTTTTGTCTGGGTGGCACAAAAATGCAGCAAACAAGAAAAAAAGAGGACACAGGGCGACGCGCCGATAGCAATGAAATTGTTTATTCTAGAAAAACATGCTTAATCTCTTTAAAACGAGACGAAACCAAAAGAGCAGACGTAAAATGAATAAACATCAGCTTTGTTCAGGACATTTGATGATACACAGTTGTATCAGACTTCACCGTCGGGCTCTTCGTAATGCACAAATGCCGGCAGATCCCCATCAATTGAATTAATCTCGGGGCTGATCTATAAACGCAGTAAGGGTCGCGTATCGTTGGAGGACGTCCCGGGTCTCCGAAGGGGTCAGGGCACTGAGCAGCTCACCCAAATTGGACGGGCCTTGAACTTGCCGATTCTTCGCAGTTGCTGCTGAACATACTATATGCTGCAGTCGGCGAAAACGCTCGAACGCAATTTTCTGACCTCAATGGTGCCACCCTTTGATTTGAAGGTGGTTGCCTCTTCCACAAGTCGCCTGGTCTTGTCTTCCCGTTCACTTTCTGCCACGGGCGGAATGATGTGTGATGTCAATTCTGCTTCAAACTCGTTGCACGGAGTTTTCTCTGGAGTCGCCTGAATCTCGTCATTCAATCGAAGCTCAGAAGCCGCTTTCTCGGTCGTATATGCTTGATCGTCATATCCAGCATTTATCTCAGGATGGGCGAACAGTTCAGAAAAGGTCTCCTTCATGCGATACGGCAGGTCGATACGGCATGTGATATGGTTGGTGCGATACGGTAGGTGCCGGCGACCTGCCGGTGACCTGCCGGCAGGTCGCCGGCACGCTGGCAGGTCGATACTACTGCTTCTCGAGCCGGAGGACGGCTTCGCCTTCAGCACGAGCTTCCTTTTGCGGGCTTGAAGGGCAGCAGCACCGCTTGGCATCTGGAGCTAGCGATGCTCTCTTTCAAAGGCAGACGAGCGTTTCTTGCAATGACTTGATTGCGATGGCCGATGTTCCCTTCGAGCAGAACGTGCTGCTCTTGTTCTTCTGCTCATGGCTCATGCCGCTCGTACCCTGAAAAGCCTACCCAATGATTTTATTGGGCATAATGATGATGATGATGATGATGATGATGGGTGACATTGATGTCCTGTGCCCACTAAAAAGGGTAGGTGATAAGTTGAGCTGCAGCAAGTAGCCCAAAGCTTGCTTGATCAACACCGACGTTTTTTTTTTCATTATATCAAATAAACACGCTTTTCACGTTCAGAATGCTGCTGCGATCATATATGGGGAATGGGATCAACAACGCATCGCCGTAACGCAAAATAACCAGTAATGGACCAACTCCTCGAAGGGAACCCTTTGGGATGTGAAGTAGTAGGTAGCCCATTGCCCCGGCGTTGACCCGTTTGAAACAGGCGTCGACGTAGGTGCTGGAAGAACGGTTTGGAGCAAAACTTGGTGTAGCGTTTACTCCAGCAAATGTTTGTTTGGAACGCAAAGACACGGGGGAGAGAGAACAAAACTTTATTCTCATCAGACTTAAGGAGGAAGGTGATCCAACAGGCTGCGCCTGGTGGCCACCTCCTCTGCTCTTTGTGCGGCCTCGAGCTGAACGGCCAGGCTGGTGGAGACTTCCTCCCACCCCTCTGGCGAGAGAGTGGCTAGGAGATCTAGAGAGAGGGATCTTCCCTGCAGGCCCAGAGAATGTGATTAAGTGTGACTATTAAGCCACATTGCGAGCATTGCGGATCAATCGTGTCGGGTATATACGTGCATAAATGTATGGGCACAGTAATGAATGCGTTTGCAAGCGGCGCCAGATAACCTCCTGGCGCTTAGTTAACTTATGGTGCGGGGGTAGTTTTGACTGATTCGAAAGACGGTAATACTGTGTGATGTCATGGTAGGATGTCATGGCTTCATCAGGGTTTTCCGAATCAGAGGTGGGCACCATCGTTCGGCTGACGAATCCTCGAGCATATAGGTAAGCCACCTCATTCCCTAAGTTCTCCGCGTGAGCCGGCACCCATACTATCTCAAAGGAGCATAGTGCGTCTTCCTCGGCATCTGTAAAGAGTCTGGGCAAGAGTAAACACAAAGTTGTGGTGGCCACAATGCCACGTGCGAAGATGCATATAGCTGCCTTTAAGTCACTAATTATAGCAGTGAATCCGGCTTCCTCGGCTTCTGTCGTGTTAAGCACATGGACGGAAGAAGTCGTTTTAATTTGAGATGAATTGGCGTTGTAGCTGGGGAGAGAAATTACGCTTACTGCATATGCTTTGGGTATTGGGCGGCGTCAACGTACGCAACGTTTGAGTTGGACGCGTAAGTTTTTTGCAAAAATTTGGCCCTCACTTTTCTTCTACTGTCAGGATGGTTGGCCAACATGTTCTTTGGCAGTGGTTTTCTGGGGAAATTCTTTTTGATGTTGGGAGGGATGACAGCAGGATCGTTACCCGCAGGAAATACCACGTGGCCAATTTTAGCAAGCATCCAACGCACCGTCCTGCTTCCCTGTAATCGTTGAATTTGCGCCGTAACATTCGCTTCAAGAAGTTCTTCTAAGGTGTTATGCAGCCCAAGACTGAGGAGGTGCTGTGTCGAGGTGTTTCGGGGAGTCCCAATGCCCCTTTATACGCTTTGCATATTAGCCGCTTTAGTTTGGTTCGCTCAGATTGAAGGAGGTGCCAAAAATTAAGGGCGTACGCGAAACGCCACAAAACGAAGGGTTGGACTAGCTGTAGGAGTTTCTTCTCCATTATGCCTCGATTGCGCGCGCTCACTCGAGATATAAGATGGGCCATCTGGTTCACCGTTACAGTGAGTTGGTCTAGCGTTATGTTCTTATGATGGTTCGTTTGCACAATGAGTACTCTCACGTGGTCCACCAGCGGTATTGGAGTGTCCTTGACATATACGTTAATACTAGGAAGTGGAGTCTTAATTTTGTGGTGGTCTGGAGGTCGCAGTAATGGTAGCTCTGATTTGCTCTGTGAACACTCCAAACCCGCATCTGACACGTGCTGAACGACTACGTGGGTACTCTTTGAAGAGTCTCCTCGATGTGACAATCGGATCCCACCGTCGTCCAGAGCGTGGTGTCATCTGCGTAGAGGGTGTATCGCAGGCTGCGTATCGTGTCAAGTTTGTAAGGTAGTGACCTCATAGCGAGGTTGAAAAGGAAAGGGGACAAAACGGCTCCTTGCGGAGTGCCGCGATCACCGAGAGTGATGAGCTTAGAATGGAGGTCACCCGCTGAGAGTTCAACCGTACGATTAGATAAGAAAGTACGGATGTAGGTAAATATGCGTTCCCCTGGTTGTATTTCTGACAGACTGCCTAAAATGGCTCTATGCTTCACGTTGTCAAATGCTTTGTGAAGGTCCTGACCGAGCAAAGCCTTGGTACTAATGCCATCCCAGGTTGTAGGAGATCGTGGTTCAACTGAATGAGCGCATCCTGAGAGGATAGATGGGCCCTGAAGCCCAGCATCGTGGGGGAAATGAGGCGGTGCTCTTCCGTGCAATTTCGCAAGTGACAAAGCACAACATATTTCATTAGTTTGCCCAGGCAGGAGGTCAACAATATTGGACGAAGATTCTCCAGGTCGAGTTTCTTATCCCGGTTTCGGTGAGAACGCTGCCCTTGCGTGCGTGTTTTCATTCTGATGGTAAATGGCCGGACCTCCAGCACTCATTCATATATTCAGTAATGGCCCCTACCGATTTTGAATCAAGGTTGCGCAGCGTCTTATTTGTCACCCCGTCAGCATGACCGGGTGCTGATGTTGTACGCAGTTTATGCATATCGCTATATACCCAAACCTCACTTTCCGAAATGTTGGTGTTCAACTGTTCGTTGGTGGTTCTAGTGTATTCGGGCAACTGCTTTGTTTTTGAGATGTGTTGATGTAGTGGATAAAGAGCTTCTCCAGCAGCTCTTCGTCGGTGCCTGGGTATTGATGTACAATTCGCGCAAGCTGTTTGCGTGCCGCCGACTTGGAGCTACCAGGGTCCAGCAGTCGCAGAAGATGTCCTGTCTTCTTACAGCCCATCTGTTCATTGAGGCTGCAGCAGAGTTGGCCTTACTGTTGGCATGTTAGCACAACGGTGTGGGCTTTTAATTCGCGTTCGAGCCTCGAAATGCGGCGGCGGAGCCTAGTGTTACGTTGGCGCCGCCACCTACGCATAAGCCTTTCACGCGCCTCCCACATATCTAGAAGGCGTGAATCTGTTGATGGCTGTTCTTGAGTTACGTATCTTTGGCATGTTGTAGCATCCACATCTCTACTCAAAGAATGTGTCCATTCGTTCAAGTCCGATACAGCATCGGTTGCCGTTTCTTTGCGCAGTAGGCAAAATTTATCCCAATCTGTATTTCTAGCTGTGGCTCTTTTTTTTACATTGCTGGTAGTCATCTCGATGGTTATCGCTAGAATGAAATGGTCACTTCCTATCTTGTGACCTGTGTTTTGACATCGGGAACTCTCTGTGTTTTTGCATAGGAAGAGGTCTGGTGTAGTATTCTTACACACGCTGTTTCCGACTCGCGTCGATTGCTGCGGGTCATTGAGGATACTGAAACCTATGTCGTGTATGATGCCCCATGATCGGCGACCCTTGGGGTTGGATTTCGGGTATCCTCATTCGGGACGTTTTGTTTTAAAATCACCTAGTACGAGCAGCTTTGCATTCTTCGCCAGATGTTTTTTTTTCTTTCCCAAAGATGTAAGGGAGATCCGCAGCTTTAGCGCTTGGAGGGCTGTATATATTGAAAATGAAGTGTGGCTTGTCTCCTCTTCTTTTTGGTTTCTACCAGTGTGTGACGAATACTTGTACCCCCAATTTCATGTTGAATGGCTGTGAGTTTTTTATGTACTAAGATGGCAGTGTGGCACTGTGCGCTCGCGGCAATGTTTAGTTTCTTAATATATGATGCGTTGATGCGTATCCGTGCAGTTGAGTGGCAGTGTTCGTTTCTTGCAAAACTATAAAGCCCGGCAAACATTCCCCATTTGGTGCATGGTTTTGAATATGCTCTATATGTTGCTGCAGATGGCCCTTCTTATTACGGAAGCCCCTGCAGGTCCCCTGCCAAACGGGGAGCGTGTGGAGAGCCGTTACGACTACGTAGTTATTGGCGTGGGGGTCGGTGTTTGCCGGCTATTGGATGGTGTGCGGTGGATGGCCAACTGCGAACTGAAGTCGTTCAGTGCAGCTTCGGTCAAGCTCTCTTTAGCCCGACAAACGAGGTAGTTGTTTCCGGGATCGTTTGGTGGATCGTATTAAAGCGTGTTTTTAGTTCAGCTTTTAAATCGGATTTCAGCGTAGAGATGGCTGCCGTGACTGCCGTCGTTACTGCTGTAGTGATGTCCATGTCTGCGTGGAGGGAAGCTGTGGGTGTAGCTACCTTGCTTTTATTGGCATTTTGAGGTTCAGGAACTGGCGCCAACGCCTCGTTGTTTGGTGACAGTGGGTTAGAATGTGCTTCTTGTGCTTCTGATGATGTGGGTGTAGTTTGTCGATACCGAGTGCTCTATCAATTTTGGCTTCTAGAGACGGGATGTAGCTAGTCAATTTAGCTATCTGAGACTGCTAGGCCGAAATTTGAGCCTTAAGGGCAGAATTCTCCTTTGCCTACCCACTCACCTGAGGATTGGAAAATGGTAGTGATGCCGGGGGGCCCCGGTTCCAGGCCACCGACTTGGACGCTTCTCCGGGACCTCGACTGAATGAACGAGACGCCGATGGGCTGCGCCTGGCTGATATGGACCTTGGGTGCTGGAAGTGAGATGAGGGCCTGCTGTCTCGTCGTTGGGTTGAGCGCGACTTCAGGCACCGGGTGTACTATCCCGACTTGCTGGTGGCTGATCTGGCAGTGAAGCTGCCTTGAGCAAAGCGTACTGCAATTGCCATGGTGGCACTTTCGTCAT